CCATCTTTCTTGAGCTTAAAGACCCACTTGCACTTGAGCGGTCTTTTGCCTTTTGGAAGTTCAACCAGTTCGTACGTATCATTCTTCTTGCATGGCTTCCATCCACTGGATTTGTTCCGCATGAGATAGCACCTCCTTGAAATTCTCTGGCTCCCCCTCATTAGTGACGAGGATATACTCCGAAAAAGGATACCTTGTGGACTCTACCTTCTCTCTTTCAGATCTTCTCAAAGGTTGTTGTCCTTCTTCTTGTTGTTGTTGCTCTCCTTCTTCCTCTTGTGGACTAGGGTACTCCTTCTGCTCAGCAACCTCTTCATCTACGCCTTCCGTGTGCCATTCTTCACCTGTGGAAGGATTACGTACATGTACAGTAGGAGTAGTAACAAAGTTAGTAACTGTTCCATTATCATTTTTGGTCTTTGTTGATTGATCACTATCAATCCCGACCACATCTTCTCTGAAGATCACATCTCTGCTTCTGATTAACTTTTTCCTTTCTGGGTCCTACAATCTGTAGCCGAACTCTTTTTCTCCATAACCGATGAAGATGCATGGAATAGCTTTGTCATCCAGCTTCGTTCTCTGCTCCTTCAGCACATGTACAAAAGCTTTACATCCAAATACTTTTAGATGGGAGTAGGACACATCTTTGTTGGTACAGACTTTCTCTGGAATGTCAAACTCTAATGGAACTGATGGACTTCTGTTAATCAAGTAACAGGCTGTGCGAGCTGCTTCACCCCAAAATGACTTAGGTAGTTTTGCCATTTTGAGCATACTTCACACTTTTTCGACAATGGCGCGATTCATCCTTTCAGCCACACCATTGTATTGTGGGGTTCCAGGAACTGTATTCTCATGTTTGATTAAATGGCTTGAGCAGTAGTCTTAAAACTCCTTTGAAGTATACTCTCCTCCATTGTCTGTCCTAAGACGCTTTAATTTTTGACTTGTCTCCCTTTCCACCAGAGCATGGAATTTCTGAAATACTTGAAATACCTGGTGTTTGGTTCTCAAAAAATAAACCCACAATTTCCGTAAAGCATCATCAATAAATATGAGAAAATATTTGTTACCTCCCATTGATTCTACATTCATTGGACCACAAACATCAGAATATACTAAATCAAGTGTATTCGATTTTCTTCCAAAAGTTGCTTGAAATGATACCCTGTGTTATTTTCCAAATAAACAATAATCACAAGAATTCACAGTTGTACCTTTTGCAAATGAGATGAGTGACTTTTTGGATAGGATTTGCAGTCCTTTCTCACTCATATGGCCCAATCTCTGGTGCCATAAATCTGCAGGCGTATCATCTACAGCTGCATGTAATCCATCTTCACATATCTCAATGGTTGTCTTGTACAATGTGTAGGGAGCAACTCCTTTAGCAATCACCAATGATCCCTTGGTGAGTCTCCACTTCCTATTGGCGAAGTGATTCTCATACCCGTCTCGATCTAGAGTGATCCCTGAAATAAAATTCATTCGCAGATCTGGTACGTTTCGTACATCTTTTAAAACTAATGTGCATCCGACATTTTTGTCTTGATACAAATGTCGCCAATCCCCACAATCTTTGAGTGACTGGTATTTCCCATCTTGACCATTCCAAAGTCTCCTGCTTTGTACCTACAGAAGAATTCTCTTACCGGTGTGGCATGGTAGGATGTTATTGTATCAACCACCCATTCTGACTCTTGGCTTGCTAAGTGCATGCATTCATCCTCCTCGTGAATGAAGAGAACCACCGAATCATCGTTGTGCACTGCAGCAGTTGTGTTGTCATCATTCTTCTGGCCACTGCTCTCGCCTCGACCTTTCTTTGGGCAATCTCTTTTGAAGTGACCGGGTTGACCACAACTGTAGAAATTTCTATCCTTTGACCGGTTCCTGGACTTTCCACGAGCTTTGGATTTATCACGGCTACTCGATACTCTATAAAAACTTCTTCCTCTATTTTCCATGATAAGAGCATGCCCCTGATTTTCGGGCTTCTTCCTCATCTTATCATTGAGTAGGATGGCTGATGTGACCTCCTTTAAATCGATGGTATCTCTACCATGCAGGATGGTTGTTGCCAAATTATCATAGGAAGATGGCAACGAGTTTAGAAGCATGATAGCCTTATCTACTTCAGTGATTGTTTCTCCAAGGTTTGCCAGTTGCGTGATTAATCCATTGAACATATTTAAATGGGACAAGAAATTTGTACCTTCACTCATATGGATGGCATAAAGTTGCTTTCTCAAAAACAACTTGTTTGTTAAGGATTTGGACATGTATAGACTTTCTAGTCTTTTCCAAATATCACATGCACTATTTTCATCCCCAAAATATTTAGTCCTTCATCGGACAAGTGTAGTCTGATTGCACTAGCCGCCTTCTTATCCATGTCTGTCCATTCCTCGGCTTTTATAGTTTCCGGCTTTGCCTCTTTTCCATCTAGTGCAATGTTTAACCCTTGTTGGATGAGCAGGCCCTTCATCCTTCTTTGCCATATGGAGAAACCGTCATTACCGTTGAATCTTGTTACTTCATACTTTACTCCTGATATTTTTTTTGTCAAAGAGTAAAATTGACTATAAATAATATTTCTGTGAATGAGCAGAACATGTGCTCTAATACCAGTTGTTGGCAAAATTAACCCCGACAGAAATAATATTCACGGTATACGATCATAATAAATGCGGATTACTAAAAAACCGTAACCAGTGGTAATAATAAGAGAAACAAGGACACCGGGATTTTTACATGAAAAATCCTTCTGAATAAGGGAAAAACCACGGCCCGAGAGGAGCAACTGATTTCACTGTAGCGAGGATTTTACAATTTGTGGTACCGAGTAAAATACTCCAAGACCACTAAACACTCAAAAGAAATAACCCTCTTTTGATTTTTTCACCTCACTATAATACCGCTCAAACTCTCTATATTTTTTCTCACAGAGTATTTTGCTTCTTACTCTGTAAATCACTGTCTTTCTCTTTATTTTGGTGTGATTACAAATGAAGGTAGAGGTACCTATTTATAGTTGAAGAATGCCCATATTGATGTATGCAATGACATCAATATTCACTTCAAAAGCTAGTTGCTCAAATTGAACTTCTAAATTGGTTGGCTTGACAAAACCAAAAGAAAGCTTCATCTTCTTTAACATGGGCCATGGGATAGACCCAATAAATTCTAAAACATGGGGTGATGGGGTACACCAGGAAATCCCTTTTTCACATAGAGCTAGCACCCTTCTAAGACGTTTTCGATGAATGAGAGCTATGTGAAAAAGGGATTTCCTGGTGTGAAAAATCAGGAAATTAAATCAGGGATTTCCGCTCAGTTTTCGATAAATGAGAGCCGTAACACAATCATTTGACAAAAGAGGAGAAGTAAATGCCGCAGAACCTTTAGAAATTTCTGATTCTTGAAATGGCGAGAGGTCAATTCTTGCGTGAGAGAAAGCGCAGAAGAAAAAAATGAGACCCTTTTGGGATAACAGTAACCAACCATGACTCGAACCCAGGCAAGTATCTTCTTTCAATGCGGGGATATTAAGGGTGTAAGTTCTGTCATTGGTGGGGTTAAAGAGTATGCTTTCCTCATCTTCATCGTTATAGAGTAGGAAATAAGGGTGTGTATCAGGAGCTAATTCTATGGCTGCAGTAGCTGAAAAAGAAGCAGAGTGCCAATTTGTGCAGACTCCACGAAAACCAAGAAGATCAATAATTCCGAAGTTGTCTGCTATTTCCTTTAAAAGTTCTGAAGGCAGATCGCGCTATGATCTTGCTGACAGTAAACAGTCTTGAAGTTTTCCTTTATTTCTAGAACATTCCTCTCTTAATTGCCCTGCTTCGTCGTTGTTACTTTCGACATCAGACAGATTAACAGGCTTCTGGAGAAACTCTTTGGCCACTTCCTCCATACGTCTATTCAAAACAAAGCAAAAGGAATTCAATCAGCCTAAGATTCGAGAACCAACAGCTTGAAGAAATGAAGCATTAGTTTCAGATAGTACACTCCAAACAGCTACAAGAACACTGACAATTGTTTAGACTAGAAACTACTCACTCTCTTTGTACTAATTTATGTGTCATACTTTCCTTTTTAAAGACGATTTATAAACATACAACTATTTATGACTTGTTTAAACTACAAGTTTCAAAAGTGTTCTTCTTTTTAATAAACTTTGTGCCAAGTCAAACATTGTCAAACATGCTTGGGCGAGAGTACTAGTTTTTGTTAGAACTATAAAGATATGTTGATATTGCATAGTATGTGTAAAAGTTTAAGCATAAGAGATGAATTGAGAGTTCAACAATGGAGTATCGAATGTTCTAGAGAGAGTCGGTGGAGAGAATGTTCACTTTCTCATTTTCATCTCTGTACACAATACAAAGCTTATATAGAAGATGACTACTACTCATTAACTAACAATTACACAGCTAAGCTCAACATAATTAACTATATTGTCAACCCACTAACCGTCTAACTAACCTATCCAATTGACAGTTAACTGCCAGCTAACTACCTCACACAAGTTGCACGTGTTATGTGACACTTCCACTCTCAATACTCCCCCTCAAGCTGAAGGGTGCGAATACATTTAGCATCCCCAGCTTGGATATTAGATATTCATGTTGTTGCCTTGGTAATGCCTTGGTCAACACATCTTCCAGCTGATCCCTTGAGCACACATACACAGTCTTAATTGCCCCTAACTGTATTTTTTCTCTGATGAAGTGACAATTGATCTCGATATGCTTAGTTCTCTCGTGATACACAGGATTGGCCGCTATCTGCAAAGCTACCTTGCTATCACTATATATGTTTACTGGTAGTTCCACTTCTGCTCCCAGCTCCTTGTACAAATTTATCAGCCAAACCAGTTCTGATACAACTGATGCCATACTCCTGTACTCTGCTTCTGCAGAACTCTTTGACACAGTGTTCTGCTTCTTGGATTTTCATGATATTAATGATTCCCCATGCTTCACAATGAATCATGTCACTGACCTTCTCGTATTTGGGCATGAAGCCCAATCGGCATCACAAAAGGCAGTCAACTTATTTTCTCTTTTGCTGCTCATCAATACTCCTATTCCTGGATCCATCATCACATATCTTACTATCCTCAGTGTTGCTTCCCAGTGTGACTGCTTTGGCTCTTGTAGGAACTGACTAAGTGTCTGAACTGAGAATGCAATGTCCAACCTGGTTAGAGTCAAGTATAATAGCTTTCCTATGAGTCTTTGATATTTTTCTCTATCTACCAAAGGCTCATCAGCTTGTAACCCTGTCAATGCATCCAACTGTCTAGTAGTGAATTTCTGATTACTATCAAGAGGAGTCCAGCTTGGTTTTCCAGCACTCAGGCCTAAGTCTGATATGAGTTCCAGGGCATATTTTCTTTGGTTCATCAATATCCCCTTGTGTGATCTAGAGAATTCAATCCCTAGAAAGTACCTTAGTTCCTCTAGATCTTTAATTTTGAATGACTGATGCAACTGCCTTTTAATATCTTCAATCATTTGCAAGTTGTTGCCTGTAACTAGCATATCATCTACATATATTAGAATGACCACAATGTTGCTTCTCCGATTCTTTGTAAACATTGAGTAGTCCAAACAGCTTTAAGGGAACCCTTGTTGGATCAATGCTTCAGTCAGCTTCACATTCCATTGTCTACTCGCTTGCTTTAGGCCATATAGGGATTTAACCAGCCTGCAGACCATCCCTTTAGACTCCCCCTGGCTGGTAAAGCCCTCAGGTAGGTCCATGTATACTTCATCATGCAGGTCTCCTTGGAGGAAGGCATTATAGATATTCATTTGATGAATATGCCAATCTTTAGTTGCAGTAATAGAAACTACAGCTCTAACAGTTACTATCTTCACTACTGGGGAGAAGGTTTCATGAAAATCAATCCCTTCCCTTTGATTATAACCCTTGTCCATAAGCCTAACTTTGTACCTTTCTACAGTGTTATCTGCCTTGTACTTTACTTTGTACACCCATTTGTAGCCTATTGACCTCTTCCCTGTTGGCAATTGCCCCAACTCTCAAGTTTTATTATCTTCAAGAGCTTGAATTTTAGCTCTCATAGCTTCAATCCATAACTTATCTTGTGAAGCTTCATGAAAGGATCTTGGTTCAGTTACTGCAGAGAAAGCCTGCAAGTAAGCTTGATAAGTTGGCTTCAGGTTGGAGTAGCATACTGAATTGCTAATGGAATAAGGTTGTTGCTGTTGTGAGGGAATGACATAATCTATCATCCATATTGGCACTCTCTTATCTCTACTAGATCTTCTGAGCTCTTGTAGAGATGGTAGATTCATCTGTGATGAAGCAGTTGTGTCAGCCATATGTGGAGCAACTTCATGAGTGTCGGGTGGTTGAGTTGATGCTGCAGGAAGATGACTCTCATGTGGTATGTCTGGATATGCTGTGTGTGGAGAACTCATATCTGTTGGGGTATTTCCTCCTGTGCTATGTCAATATCTGCGATTGAATCCACTTCTGCATCTCCTGAATTTCAACCTCTAAAAACATATGGTCTATGTGTGGTTGCTCTATTCTGAATGGAAATATATTCTCTTTGAAAGTGACATCTATGTTAGTAAAAAAAATTGTATTTGGACAGATCATATAGAATGTATCCCTTTGTAACAGAAGAGTATCCCATGAAAGTTGCTACAATTGCCCTGGCTTCAAATTTATTATGTACATTTATCCTCTTGGCATAACATAAACACCTAGTGTCCTCATATGGTCAAGAGAAGGCTTCTTCCTGTGAAATACTTCAAATGGGCTTTTACCTTCCAAAGCACTAGAAGGTAATCTATTGATGATATACACATCAGTTAGGATGCAATGACCCCAAAATCTTATTGGAATTGAACCTTGAAACCTTAATACTCTTCCAATTTCAAGGACATGTCTGTGTTTTCTCTCAGCAATGCTATTTTGCTGAGGTGTACACACACATGTTTTTTGATGAACTATTCCAAAAGATTGGAATAGTGAGCTGCATTCACCATTAACAAACTCTGTCCCATTATCAGTTCTTACTATCTTGATACACCCGTCAAATTGTGTTTTTACAAGCTGAATAAAATTTCTCAGAATCACAACCACATCACTTTTTAACTTCAGAAAATACACCCAACATATCCAGGAATGATCATCTAGAATAGTAACAAAGAGTTTATTTCTATCATATGTTCGTACACCATATGGTCCCCATACATCAATATGTATCAAATAAAAATTACTTCTGCTCTACTAGTACTAGAGCTAAATGGCAGTCTATCATGCCTAGCTAATGGACATATAGAACAATCCTCTAATTCTTTCTTACAATCATCATATCCTAATGAAAAAGTTTGTTTTATTGCTCCTGTTGAGGCATGTCCAAGCGTTTTGTGCCACAATCTTACATCCAATTTTTCTATTCTACTAGACAAACCAGTTGTGTTATTCTTCTCTCTTTCTCCAATAGTTTGAGGTAGTATGTAGAGGCCATCATCCTCCCTACCAATCGCTCTCACCTCCCCATTGCAGAGGTCCTGGAACACAAAGAAATTAGGGAAGAAGCAAACTGAGCAATTCAATGCTCTTGTGATTTTTGCTACAGATAACAAATTGTACTTAAAGTCAGAAATGTACAGAATATTATCTATTGTTCCTGCTTGTCCCAATCTGCATGATCTTCTACGTGTTACCTGTGCAACCCCTCCATTAGGTAAATGAACTTTCCTGGTCTTATTTTTATTTACTTCTTGTTTCTTATCCAACATATTTATATCTGAGACCATATGATTTGTTGCACCACTGTCAACTATCCAAACCTTTTCTTTGATATTTGCTAAAAAGGCATTAATACTACCTGCACTACCTGCCATGTTTGCTGATGTTTCAGGTAAAGTTTCCTTGTTGAGCAACTTCAGGATCTGATTGTACTGTTCTGAGGTGAAGTGTGGTGCAATGTATTATTTTGGTATATTAGCAGCTATGTTCTTGTCTGCTCCAGTCTCCTGTAGTTTATGTTCTTCAACGATGGCATTTTTTGCCATGTTACCCCCAAACATCTTCTTATATTTGAAGTCAATCGGATAACCAATCAACTTGAAGCATCCTTCACGAGTGTGCCCCTTCATCTTACAGTAGTTACATGTGACATTATAATTCTTTTTGAACCTCTGAGTGTTGAAATTTCCTCCATTGCCACCTCTTGTGGTCATTAATGTTGTGACTTCCAAGTTTTCAGTGGCAACAGAAATATTAGACATAGTCCTCTAACTTTCCCTCTCAATTAGCATAGAATAGGCCTTGTTAACTGAAGGAATTGAGTCCATCATCAAAATCTGGCCCCTTGCTTGTTCATTATGTTTTATTTAATCTCATCAGAAATTGCAGAAGCTTTTGACGCCTCATGAATGCAACAAAATCCCTAGACTTCTCACAATCACACTCAGGAGTTGGAGCTAAGCTGTCAAACTCCGCCCAAAGTGATCGAATTTTTGAGTAGTAGGTCGCAATAGCGCTGGTTCCGTGACTCACAGTAGCAATCTCCTTGTGCAACTGGAAAATGCGAGAACCATCAACCTTGTCAAACCTTTCCTTCATATCCTTACAGACCGCACATGCACTGGAGGAATACACAATTCCGTTGAGTAACTCCGTTGATACGCAATTCATAATCCACGAAAATACAACTGCATTGCACCTCTCCCACAGATCAACCAAATTTGGACCGTAATTTTCTCGCTTGCAACTGCCATTGATGAACCCTAGCTTGTTACGCCCTAGGATCGCAATTCGCATCGCTCTACTCCAGACAGAATAGTTCTTTGTTCCGGTCAATTGCAAGGATATCAACACAGTTCCAGAATTGTCCGTCGATTGCAAAAAAAGTAGGTGATTGTGGCTCAATTTTTTCGGCAACTCATTATCGATGTTGTCCGCTATTAATGAGTTTCAATGAAGTACGTTTCCAGCAATTCAATTTCCCAAAGAGACCATATAAATGGCCGTATGCTCTGATACCATGTCAAAGTTTAAGCAAAAGAGATGAATTGAGAGTTCAACAATGGAGGATCGAATGTTCTAGAGAGAGTCGGTTGAGAGAATTTTCACTTTCTCATTTTCATCTAATCTGTCTGTACACAATACAATGCTTATATAGAAGATGGCTACTACTCACTAACTAACAATTACACAGCTAAGCTCAATATAATTAACTATTGTCAACCCACTAACCGTCTAACTAACGAATCCAAGTGACAGCTAACTGCCAGCTAACTACCTTACACAAATTGCACGTGTTATGTGACACTTCCACTCTTAATAGTATGATGGTCCCTCACTGAGAGATGTAGCAAAAAACAAAATAAAAATTAACAATTTAGTGACGAGGAGATGTAGCAAGTGAATAGTATTTCATATATTCACACAAATAAGGATGCGCACTATAAATTAAACAATTGAAGCTAAATATTCAACAGGAAAACAAGAAAATCAGAAGTAGAAGAAACCAGAATGATCTGAGATCAAGAAAACTTACCTATCTTCTTCCAATTTAGCTTACAAAGAAAGGAGCCTTGATAAGAAACTATCAGCTGAAGTTTGCAACTATCTGAAGTTTTGTAGGAGAAAAGAAGAGTAGCAGTCTTTAGAAAAAATAAAAAGAAGAAGAGGAAGAGTTTGTTGGTTCTTTCCGAGTTACCCGAGAGTAAGGCAAGTGAAAAAAACGAATTGGGTGAATACCAAACGTTACACTTTGAGGACACAAAACTAGTGTTACAATACAGGTGTGTTCACGGCGAATCTAGAATTTTAAGTTTATGGGTTCATATAGCAATCTCAAGTTAATCTACATGATAACTGGACCAACGAACTGAATTCCAAATTAAATATTTTTATACTTTTAATGAATTCTTTTTGTACAAATACATGATCTATGTAAAAGTTACTGATTCATAGGAACCATAAGATTCGCCCCTGGGTGTATTATGTGTAATGGGTGAATTTTTCTTAAGAAATCGTATAAATAGTGTTTGAGTTACAAAATAAAAATATATATTTTGAAAAATAATGAATGTTGAAATTTTCACATAAAAGTTCTCACTGATCATATCAGTCAATATATTTAACTAAAAAAATTTATTCCAATTTTATAATTTTATCACTCCAAATTCACAAGTTACCATACTTCTTTTTCATTTTCAACAATTACACATAACCCAGATTTAAGAATATTTCTGAAAGAAATTTTGGAAAGCTCTTATCAAAGTCATTTTAGAAAATTCAAACGAGATTAGCAAACTGATAGAAGACAATACTTTTTCCTCGTGAGAAAAATATAGATTATTCTATTTCTTTGTCCCACTAAGAATAAGGTCTTTTCCGAGGGAGAAAACAGACAGAAAGCCGGCGATAATTGTGATTAGTGGTTTTTCAGCTAAAAAACGGCGGATTGAGACATGTCAGAAATTATCACGTTGGTAGAAAAAGTCGACGGACTCGAGGTTATGGAAATTTTTATTAAAAGACCTATTTGGCGGAGTTCGTTGATTATCTTAAATTACGCATAAAATTCACTAGTCGAGATTGGTACTCGTTGGTCTAATGCTTCTGTTTTTTATTTATTTAAATTCTTCAAGCAAAACTAACCAACAGAGTCCGACAATTTTCTTATAAAAAAATTAAAAATTCACCAAAATTAACAGACAAAGCCGATCAGTTATTCCTTCGATTTTTGATAAATGAGTTGATTGTATTTTGACTGAAAATACCGACAGATTCGTCCGATTATTATAAAATATTTTTTATTTAAATTTTATTATGCAACCGATTAGGGACGTTAATCTTTTTTAAAAAAAATGGCGCAAAACACATTAATAACGGTGTCTGTCAAAATTAAGTCTTGGTGCATTATAGCGTAAAACTAACTAACGAATTTTTGTCGATTTTAATTTTTTTAAATCTATTTTCCGATATGCTTTGTCGGTTTCCTTAAATTATTATTGCTCATTTTGTATCATCAAACTACATAATATATTATTTGTACATGTAAATCATGAAATAAAAGAATTAGGCTTTAAATTAATGTACTGCTTAAAATAGAATTAAAGGAAGATACGGTGACCTTTCGAAAAGATAACCTGGTCGGTCTAGCAGCCTATTTTCGCAAATCAAACCAAAATTGGAAGGGGAAAAAAGGCTTAAAAGAGCATGCATGAGATCTCACATTTTAGAAATATAGAAAATTAAACTACAAAAAAGGGAAAAAAGGTAATATCAATCTAATTTATTCAGTTGTATCTAAAGGGACACCAATGATTCAAGGACCACCAAAGAGATATAATTCCGCCATAACATTGAAAGTCAAACTTATCAAAATTAGAACCTGGAATTTGCAATGACGGAGAACTGAAGAAGATCGATTAACTGACTTGTTTTGACACTGAATCGATATTACAATGCGTATTTATAACTCTATTTTTTTGTTCGGAATCATTATGCTACCAAACTTTAAAAAAACCTAAAAGAAATGGAAAGAGGTTATAAGTATTAATCAAGTAAATAAGTGTTATACTAAGATTTTAGGAAAAAGAATTAATTAACTACTTTGTGTAATATAAAATTAATTTTAGAAAGTAAAAAATAAAAAATCATATTTCACTAAGTAATTTCATATTTTTATAATGATATAGATAAACAAATATAAATATAGATTATTAACTCCACCAAGGAATTCTTAATCATCTCCCTTTTCAGTTATACATTTATCTAACCTTTATTCATGGAATACAGGAGCAACAAAGTAAATTGAGTTTAACAAATAACTTAAACAGGATGCAATTAGTTATTATTCATTTAGTTCCATAGTCATGATGGAAAGATTAAACACATGTCCTAGAAGAATATCTTACGACACCAAAAATAAAAATCAATTTATCTACTATGTCAATAAGCAACTAGCTGATGATTAACCTTAAGATAATCAATAATAAATAAGACTTACTGTGACTATCTCTAGCAAATTGGGCGTTTGGTCTAGTGGTATGATTCTCGCTTTGGGTGCGAGAGGTCCCGAGTTCGATTCTCGGAACGCCCCTAAAGATGTTATCTTTGTTTTCAACTTATCGAATGGAATGGAAATGCTTATTTTACCCAAAGTGTTGCCGTTTTCATTGTCTAAATATGTATACTGCACATGTGATATTTTGTTTTAACTGTCTAACTTTTTTAGTTGGCTAGTTTTAAGTTATGCACAAAAGCGTGTATATCATATCAATAAGTATAAATTTTTATAGCGGAGGGTCTATCGGAAACAACTCCTCTATCTCTATGAGGTAGGGGTAAGGTCTGCGTACACACTACCCTCTCCAGACCCCATTTATGGGATCAAACTGGATTTATTGTTGTTGTTGTAAGTATAAAATTTTAAAAGTTTATATAAATATTACTAAATTATATATTCTGATGATGCAATTGTTATGTGTTATTTTGAAAGTATTTTTATAATTTGATATTGGGTTAGAGCGTATTAATTGTGACTATTGTGGTAATTACTACATAATCATAGTAGCTATTAAAATGTGTATTTAAATTTTAGTTCATAAATGTTATAAAAGAGTTGTTTGACTAAAGGGTAATGGATATACTATTGTATATCTAGAGGAACGCGCATAACTATTTACAAAAAGTCTTTCTCTATTTTTTTTTATACTAGTATTAGGGTATGCGCTTTGCGCGTGTACCTATATCATGAGTATATAATTTTTTTTTAAAATAGGTAACTATATTAAATAATTTATTTGCGTTATTGAACAAAAATTAACGAAAAAGATCTAAGCTACTAAAAAATATAAATATTGATCTAATTTAGCTAGTTCAATAAATAAATAAATTTTGTCTTACATATGCGTTATTGTATTTTTCTTAGGACATACATGATATCTTATGAACATCCTTGTTATTTTTGTTACCTAATACGAAAAACAAATAACAAGTTAAACTTTAACATAATCAATTGTGCTCTATTTTATTTTTTTATTAACCGTCAATGTACTTCTTGTAAAAATAAATTTATGTACCTTAAGAGTTTTATCAATTTAAAAAATAATTTTATTTATATGATGATTTTGCTAGTTACTCCCTCCTTTCTAGTTTATGTGAATCTTTTCACTTTTCAAGAGTTAGTTTGAGTAATCTTTAAAGCTAAATTGAATTAGATTTTTTTGATATTTTAAAGTTAAAACTTAGATATTAAGAAACTATACGAACAATACTATTAAGCTGCAATCTTTTCATGTCAATATGATGAAAAAAATATTTAATTTTTTTGTCAAAGCTTATATATTTTGAATCTTGAAAACTAAAAGGTTTTATATAAATTGAAATTGAGAGAGTAATTAATTCAAAGACTTAATTATTTATTCTCAATATTAAAAAAATATTTTTATTTTTTTGCATCGGGGTTTAGTACTTTTACTATAATATAAAAAGTATAATAATTGTTTTAATTATTTTTTGTATAATATTTGAAATCTACATTCGCGCATTGCGCATGTATCCTATCTTGATGAATAGAATATTATATTAAATATTATATTTAAGTTATAAATAAATATTTAGACTCTTCCTTTTTAGTTTCAGCAAAAATACATAGCCTTTAAAAATATAAAAGCTTTTTTGGAAAAAAACTTCAATATTTATTTTTGATTTAGTGGTTATTTTTTTCTGTTTACCTTTTTTTTTGTGGAGTATCCATTTGTAACTTTGTTTGCTCTAAGTTTTTTTGTCTATCTTCATTCTCATCTTTATCTATTCATATTATTTCATGGATAAGATGATTGAAATAATAGTCTTTTTTATTTATTGAAAACAAACCTGCACGATTGATATGTACCTCGAACAATTGAGATTACATTCTTTGCAATATTAGTTTCCTGTTTTTGAGTCAGTTGTGTTGCTAAAATTAATCGTTATATTTCTTTAACTAAGACCAAATACTCCTAACCCTAAAAGAAGTCCTTAGTGGTTTAAAAGGAGTCTTAAGTCTCAAATATTTTTGTACTTAAACTTTTCCAAACGTTACTTTTTTGATAATTTGTTTTTGTTATGTTACATCATTAATTAAGGAAGGATATATTTAATATTAGGACTTTGTGTATATACTTCAAATAAATAAAGATTTAATGTATTAATTTAGTTTATTTAAAACTCCTAAATATTAGGGAGAAAACTTAAAATGACTATTTTGTCTAATATAAAATTTATTTTTAAGGGACAAAAAAGTCGAACGGCATTTCGCGAAGGGCCTTCGTGCTTTTAATATAGTACTAGTCTTAGAGTACGTGCGGCACGTGTTTGTTGCGTCAATAATAAAAAATTACTAATAAACTATATTCTTCATCATATAAATAATATTAATGTCGTGTTTTAATCGAATTTAAATAATTTCGATTAAAAATTTGAACTAAATGTTAAATAATGTGTCAGCACAAGTTGCTTCGTATTTACAAAAGATTGTAAATTTTTGGCAAAACAAAAAAGAAGAAGAGTTAGAGCTTATACTATTTAAAGAATAATA